GGAACAGGGTACCCATGCACCTGCATAGGTGCCTATGCTACAATGGTTGTCAGGTCTGTGAGGTTACAATGGCAAAAGCATGCAAGTCCTGTGATCCCAAAGTGAGAGAAGTGTCTTCTGATTCACTCAAAAGCAAGAAAGGGAGTATCCAGACTCACCTTGCTATCAGCTGTATGTTTAGTGACCAGCTTCTGAGAAAACAATGCAAGTCCTGCTTCCTGCAGTAGTTCCTGGTCCTGTTCTGGAATTCCTGTATCTGACTGAATCCTGGCCTTTACACTCTGCAAAGTCTCTTCCTCTGTCACAGGGTAGGTGTGCACAGTTCCCGTAACCATGTTCAAAACATGAAGCAACTACAAGAAGAGCAGCATGGCATGAGAAAGGCTGAAGATACATTGGTTATCTTATTGGTCATCTTAGAGCAAAGATCAAGAGACTGAGACAATGACCACCAAAAAACTGTTCAAAGCACTTAGCAGACTCAAGAATTCACTCTGCGGCTACTTCCTAACATTATGGCAAAGTTCTTGTCCTCCATCAAGTGAGAGGCCACATGGCAATTAAATACCTTCACCTGTAGAATCCTCTATCAGAATATGGAACTAAGCATGCACAGAAGCTATTCACTACTCCTAATAAGTTCAGGGAGTATTTGTCCTCAAAGAAGCAAGAGGAAAGCACCTGTCACTAGCTGTCAGGAGACAGTTCTGCGAGTTTCTGCCTCACTCTTCCTCCTAAGTCTATGATTCAAGCCTCTCCTCTCACAGACTACAGGCGACTACTCTCTGGAAAACTTTTCAGGGTAATATGGACCTACTGCTTACCTTCAAGTTCAAAATGTCATCCAAAGCTTTGAAACAGCCATTGGGTCCATACGTAGGATCTGTACCTCTCTGACGCGGGTGCCACATTAACATGAGTTGCAGCCATTTCTCCAGCCTCCCAGACAAAACACTGAGCAATAAAAACCAGGAGGAGATCAGAAGAGGTAAAAGTGCATTTGCAATAACCATATGGCCTGTTCTGTGTGGGAGGACTAACAAAACTCCCCCCCACTTCTCCCTACCACAAATGTAGTGTTTAGAAGGCAGAAACTAAGACTATACAAGTCTGACAAGTGATAATAGTACTGCCTCTATCATGCACTCAATTTATTCACAGATTAACACAGTAGGGCATAGAATATAATCTTGGTCCTTTTGCAGAAGAATCAGTTTATCTCAGCACAGCAATTTCTAGTACTCACCTGTTCAGATTGTTTGGGCAGGGCAGACAGCTAGAAAACTTGACTTCTCCAGATAAGTCCTCTGAAACAACAATATCCAGCTCACTCTTCTGACGGACTTTTGTATGCCTAATGTAAGCAAGCACAATGGTGAAATAATTGTCTGCCTTTCCCATCCTGTAAATTAGTAGGCTCTTAAAGCTACTCTTGATAGACATAATGCAGATGCCACTTTGGTTTCTGTTATCTGCCTTGCAGGAGTCAGCCCTTATCCCATAGAGCAAGTATCAGGAATGTTGAACTTGCTTAGGTGGTCAAACTCCTGTGAAGGGGGTCAGTTTCCATAAGGGCAAGGAACATAGGGATATTATCCTCAGAATCAAGGGACACCATACTTCCTGTTTATAGGAAAATCACATCATGCCCACTTATCACCCAGCCACAGTTCACTCACCATTGCACTGGCTGCCAGTTGGGTAGGAATGGTCGGAAGCCTGTAATGCACTCAAAGGCAAGTGTGCCAAAGCTCCAGTAATCCACTGTCACCGTATACTTCTGCTGTTCCAGCAGCTCTGGAGCCTGATACAGTTTACACACAGGAGACAAAGCCACCCAGCTCTGAGCCTTCTCTATCCCTTAACATCTCATTCACATTTGTACAAATTATTAAAGACATAACTGAATGCTGCCTCTCACACGCTTTAATCCCCTCTCGGAATGAGCAGTATTCCTGGTTACTGGCACTTCTGCTTATTTATAATAGAAGCAACTAACAGAAAACCTAGTGTCAGCAAAAAAACAGTCACCTTCACTTGCTTCAGCACCACAAACACACCCCATACCACGCAAGTACTTAATCCCAGCCCAAAACTTGATAACAATTAATTCTACCCCACTAGAAATCAGTATCTGCTCTTATACTTGAATTCCTTTCTTACCAAGTACTGTAGAGTCCCAACAAAGGATGTGCATAGGCTACCCTGATCCAACTCCTTAGCATAACCAAGGTCAATGATTTTGTGTATTAACTGAAACACACAACATAGAATAAGAATGCTAGACTGAAATCCTGTTAAAAGCACATCATACAGCAGAAAGAAAAGGTTCAGCTCTTCAAAGCTATACAGGAAAGGTACCAGTGAAGAGACAGAAGTAGAAATGGGAGGGTACTGTAGATTCCTAAAACCACAATGAATTTGAAGGTGTTGTAGCACACTTAGCAGTTATGTGTCTAGCTCCTTTCAATCTTAGGTCAATCAGTGCAGTGTGGCTCTCTCAATAGCTGAAAGTCGAAATGTTAGGTGTTAACAGATGTCTAATACAATGTCTTATCTCAGCTGCACACAGAATACTATTCATCTGACACAGTGGCCTGAGACAGGTGTTAGCCTGGGCTGAGTGCTCTTGCAGAGGGACCATGTAACTGCATGAAGCACATGCATGCTCCTTGTAAGCTTACTTGTCTGTGGAGGCAGAGACAACTGCTTCCTGCTTACCCTTTGTTCTCCTTGCTGCAGCACAATGTTCTCTGGTTTCAAGTCTCTGTGGATGATCCTGTTCTCATGAAGGTACCTGAGAGCAGAAGCTGAGACACAGATAAAGACAATTTTAAGAGCATACGTAACAGGACCTAGCACAAGATCAGCAAGGACTCAGTTCTATTTATGGCTTTCACATCAAACCTTGTACAATGAAACATACCATGAAACACTAAGTGTAAGGTGTAAAGTTAGCATCATAGAACTCTGGACATAAACTGAGTTCTCTCTCTGAATGTTCCCCACATTCTTCCTTTAAACTGTAGCAACACTGGCTAGCTTCCAGTAGGCAAGGACCTCCCCAGACTCCCAACACTTTTGGTAGATGATCAAGATCATAAAAGGTCAGTCTAAAATGGAGTCACTAAGGTCACTGCTGTGTGTTTGGAGAGTTGATTCAGGACTAAAAGGGTTTCTATAGCTCAGACAACTGAAGGCACTGCTACCACTTACCAATGTCAGATAACAAGATAAGAATAGCTTCTTCCCGCAAGCCACAGCAATTCTCCAGCTGGTTCAGGTACTGCAAGTAAGCAACACAAAATGCAGTCTTTCCTTTATCCTGAGTGAAGCCCACAGTCCCGCAAATTTTCAGGGATACAAGAAATTTCAGCAACAGCAATTAAATTATCCAGAAGCACAAAATTCTATGGACTGTGACCTGTGGCAGCAGCAATTACAGCTTCGTAATTAAATCAGCGTTAGCTTAATTGCATGGGAGAATAAAGGAGCAGGTGAAAGAAGTCACTGTCATCCCATTCTCATCCTTCTGTTTGTTTCATCCTTCTTTGCCATTTCCCCTGTGCCTGCCAATATCAACTCCAATATCAGGCCTAAAGTGTGTGTTTTAGCTATGGGCAGATTATAGCAAAGGTCAGAAAAGCCTTAGGATTAGAACTGTCGTGTGTTATTTCTTCCTAAGACAGACAAGAGTTAATCACTTTAAGGAAGGGTACAGCCTACAGATTCACCTACCCTACAATGGTCCTGGCCATACTCACATTCTGTTGCACATCCCTTACACTTGCCCTCATTATTTATGTGCAAACTCCTCACAGTGTCACTTGCATCCAAAACAATAAAAGAGTTTCACAAAGCACTTAAGTCTTCAAAAGCTGAACATAATATCAAGGACCAATCCACCAACGCCTGCTGATGCCATGAATAGAATTAGGAAGCATCAGGATGTGAAAGCAAAGGTTCTAAGGGAACACTTCAGTAGAAAACCCAGGATAAGATTAGAAGCTGACCCATTCCTTGGTTACCACCCCAGGGACCTCACCTTGCGGAGGTCTCCCCCTTGGCAGTACTCCATGGCCAACAGTGGCAAGTCATTTGGTGCGAGCTTCTGCATCCCTTCAGGGACATCACGGGCAGCCACCACATTGGGATGGTTCAGTCTGTGGAACAAAAATTAGGCAAGTAGGCATGATGTTCTGCAACTGCTATATGGTTTCACATGCTCCTGGTCATCACCTAAAGTGGTCACAAATCCTTTTAGAAATTAAATTAGTGAATTCTGAAGGTTTGCATGTTTCACGAATCTAGCCTCATTCAAACTCCTAGCATTTCATGTGCCAAGACAGTGTGTTTCTTCAACACACATGCATTACAGATCTGTCTAGAAGGTACAGCAACAACTCTTGCAAGGAGTGCAAGGCAGTCTGTTGCCACCGTCCAGAAAAGACCCAAACTGCAATCAGACCACTCCACCCAAAAATGCTAATCCAACACCCCAAGGGACTACCCCAGCACAGACGTTAAGGCAGGCACAGCAGCGTTGTTGTAGCGCTGAGGGCACAGCAGACGAGCCGAAGACGGCAGTGTGAAACCCAAGAGTCTCACGCAGCACAATATGAAGTTTTCTTACGCGTGAACTTCCACGCACTTGCCGCCGAGCGGACCGGGCACCTCCCGGAAGGGGATCCCTTGGCGGCCAGCGGCCGAATGCCTCTCCCACCATTCCCCTCAGCGCACCCGTCCGATCCGCGCTCCGGGGCCGCCTCCGCCACGGGGCACCGACGCGACGCCGCGCAGCGACCCCTCCGCCCGGCCCGGCACACGCGGGCACCGGCCTCGGCCCGACAACACCGCCGCCCCACCTCACCTCTTCATGATCTGTATTTCCAGCGCCCAGCGGTCGCGGTTGCGCGGGCTCAGCTCCTGTCGGCACTGCTTGATGGCCACCTGCTCGCCGGTTTCCTGTGGACATAGCAAGGGTGGGCTGAGCCCGGGTCCGGAGCCGGGGCGCCGCGGGCCCGGCTACCGCCTACCTTGTTGTGCCAGCGGATGACGTTGCCGAAGCCGCCGGTGCCGAGGCGCTCCCGCATCTCCCAGGGCCCGCAGGTCAGCGCCTGCAGCGCGGGCGGGCGGCTCATGGCGGGCCCGGCTCCGCTCCGCGGGACCTGCGCTTCCGGCTCCGGCGCCAGCGCCCGCCCTTGGAGGCCGCGCCAGGCCGCGCTCGGCCCGCTCGGGGCCGCCCCGCCGAGGAGCGGCGGAGCCGCGATCGCCGCGGCCGCGGTACCGCGTGGAGTCAGGGGCTCGGGATGAGAGGCGAGAACAGCTCGTGGGCTGTGTAAGTAACATTAAAGAGTTGCCGTCTTCTTCCCGCAGCATCTCCAAGATCTGCCAATCCGGAACGCACCATTTGCTTTTCCCACCGCACCGCCCGTGCCGAAGCGCTATTCTGGTTTAACATCGGGTTTGGCTATTTCTTCCTTCTGGGCTGTCTGGCGTCACATACTTTAATACCACTGCAAAGACGCACAACAGTACGGGAGTGGAAGCTGCTCTCCAAGATCTGCCAGAACTCCAGTAGCCTGCGCTGGACCTGCCAAAGCCACCGGCCAGAGAGGGTCCTGTCGGGGTGACATGGGCCTACTGTGGGATGTCATGCTGTCACACTTCGTCACTGCCATTAAACAGTCCTGCTGAAATTATCCCGAGGATCAACTTAGAAAAAATCCAGTAGATAGTGCTTGAGAGAGCAGACACTTTATTGCTGGCTTTCCTAAAATATGTTAAGCCCTACAATGGCACCGCAGTCTGTAGACAATTATAGTTGTCCTTAAGCTGTGAAAAGCCAGGAAATAATTTCTGAAATCTTCCCCCATGGCCATCAGTTTGTTAGCATCTTTAATCTAGAAATCAAATGGCTATTATCTTAAAAAATAAAATAAATTAGCCCCTGCTCTCTCAGCAGTGTTCAAGCTCAACAACTGGAAGTCCCTTCCAGAAACAGTCAAATGCAGCTACACTTAAATCAGATTTATGGCAGTAATGTTATCACTAGCACTGTGACTCTTGGAGAAATAAATTTTATAATCTTGACATAGATCTCCATGCAGATAGAGTACCAGTGTTTCATCTTTACCATTATGCAAAATAACCAGTGCTGTGTTTTCCAAACTAGATCTCCATGCAGCTGCTTCTGAAAATAGAAGTCCCTCACATACTGGTTCTTACATCTTATACTAAATTCTGTCAGGAGCTTGATTGCTAGTGTGTCAGTTCCAAGCAGGTACGACACATTCATCACTGTAACAATTGCAGCAATGACTGTTTTCATAACAGTGCCCTAAGATCAGCTCTAAAACTTATCATCACATTTGTCTGCCACACTTAGATAACTGAATACCTCATGACCACATTCTGGTAAGTAGATCTTCATTTTCTAGGGTGAGTAATATCAGTGGACATTTAACTCTGGCCCTCAACATGCTGTTCCTTATTTGTATCTAAAGTTCTAAGAAGTTTTGCTCATTTAACTTGAAAACTCCCCTGTTTCTTCTTCCATGGCATGCTTTGCTCCACAATTGGGTCAAGGCCTCTCTGCCAAACATTTTAATTAGGAACACAGCACACTACACTTGTGTGTGAAACAGGAGTTTCTTGTTATTAGGACTAAGTCTACATACTGCAGACTTCTAATTATATTATAAATAATACAGCTGTGCATTCATTCACACTCCTAGAAGTATAATGGGACAGGACAGTTCGTTGTAAGGGATACATACTATTTTGTCATTGAACAATAAGGTGTTCAATGGGGAAGAGATTGTTTTGACAACTAAATCCGCTCTCTGACTGGAAAAGAGAAAGAACAAAACAAACTGGCTGTAAAATCCAGCAGCATTCCAGCAAGTAGCTTTCCTCCCGTCCCGCACAGGGCTCCCTCCCTGACAATGCGGACGCCAGCCGCCTGCCTGGACCATCCCCTAGATGCTCGGGAAGGGGTGGGATGCGGACGGCACGCCCCATGGCCCAGCTCCATCAGCACGCTCCACCCCCTTGAGTGGCGCTACAAGTAGGACAGAGAGATCAGAGCAGAGACACAGGAAACACAAACCCACACTGGTCTGGAAAGAAAATCATCAAGACAATACAGAAGAGAAAAGCAAAAAGGTAGGCACTACTCTGCACCTGTTTCAAAAAGGGCATTTCCTGTTTTCAACATTAATGGCATTGTCATTAAATACTATTAAATATTATTATTTAATAAATCCCAATTAATAAGTGAAGTACCATGATAGTTAACTAACTGAACTGTTGCCTTCCTGCTTTTGAAATAATTCATAGTGTAGGTAAAGATGCTAACTTTCAGTTGTTTCAAGAAAGCTGAAGCTTTCCAGGGAAAGGGCTGACAGCCCTTTTTGTTCACATTTGGTAACTGACAGCTCTTTTTTAGGTCTTACTCCACATAGGTAAGATAATGCTTACATGATTACTGCTTAGAAAGGCTGTTAGTAATAATAGGTTAATATGTGGGATTTTAAGTGTTCCTGTTGATGATGCTTCAGCAAAAAAAGACAAATTTAAGGTATAATATATTGTTATATCCTAATGTACTTGAAAGTGTAGAATCAAAATGTCAGAACATCACATCTAGGTCTTTGACTTATTGGTCTAGTATTTTTGGTTGGAAAGGTGCACACTTTTTATGAGAGCACTACCAGATGCACACTGCTTGCTGGTTTCTGCTTGGAGCCTTGTAAGCATACTTTTCAAACAGTCAAATGATTTCAATTTGACAGCTTTTCATTCCAGTTGACTGGCCTAAGTTGTACCTTTCCCAAAACTGAAAATAAACGTATGGTAACATCTGTTACCAGTTTTCCATGCATAGTGGGACAGCAGCTATCAGTGGATGGACACGTATCCCACAGGAAGAGGTGGGGGAAAGGCTGCAGCGCTATAAGCTAAGATAGCCTGAACAGGGGCAACAGAAATCAGTGGAAGACAGGATGTGACATCTGATGCAAAACCACTTTAGAGAGACTATCTACAGCATTTTGCGGTATAAACACTTGCTGTGTACGGCTAGAACATACTTGTACAGATGAATATATGAGTTGAACTTGATTAAGCCATGCAGGTGCTTTTTAAATAAGAGACTCCTCATGTCAGTCTTCCAGGCAAAGAAAATATTAAAAAGACATTTTTAAGTTTAAACTATGTTTCTTGCTACCCCCTGAAAATGATCTGCTGTTTCCTGCTGGTTTCAGGTACCTAGGACTTCTTCCAAGATATCAGTTAGGCCAGCTGTCCTCCCAGACAAAAAAAAAAAAAAACAAAAACAAAAACAAACAAACCCCTTATGTTGTCTTGTTTTGGGGCATCTTAGCAGGTACCTCAGAAATAAGGTCTCAAAAGTTCTTCACTGTGTTTCCCAGGCAGGAATTCTAACAAGGCAGCTCAGCTGTGATCTAAGTAGTTTCACTGAACAAAGCTTTCCTTGAAAACAAACGCCTTAGCTACCAGAATTCTTACAGTTGTAAGAACTTCAAGCCTTCTCCACAGATAACAACAAAGATCACCTGTGATACCAAAAATTAGCAAGTTAAAACGTTGCCACTGTGGGATTCAGAACACAAGCCTGCCTATCTGTAATATGGAACCACAGCTGCAGGGAGTAAGGATACTACGCAGAGTTACGGCAGAAACCAAGCGACTGGATGGCAGTTCAGATCATTCACTTTGGCTTTGGGAATGCTGCTGATTTAGTTCAGATTGAATTGAAGTTGAAATTGAATGTTGAAAATCAATTAATTGAAAATCACTTGTACAATTTTTAAAAAGGCTTGCCATACAATGCAAAAAGTTTCCTAAGAGGTGAAAAATAGCTTGAAAGTATATAAAAAGTGTACTATGAAATCTACGGACCAATACAAATCACTGAGAGATGTGCCAAATTTTAAGGATTTTAGCATCAAGATGTGACTCAAAGATAAAGCATTGGGTAATTAAGGTTCTTGGAAGATGTTCTTGGGAATCTTTTCAGTCTGACTTGCAACTTAAGTCCCGTCTTTTTGCAGCCTGATGATGAGAAATCACATCCTAAATTATCCTGCTGTACTCTTGATTCTGCTTCAGAAACTGGACTATTTGTGCCTTTTGCTTTGAACAAATTTTAAAACAGACAAACAGCGGAAGAAACCCAGCGACAAAACTACTAAAAAACCACAGAGTCTTTCTCCATATTAGCCTTGAATCCGAATTTATGACTCATCTATCATACTTCAATTTCAGCAGCTGTTATCCAGCTGCCTTTTCTGGCTTTATATAAATAGAGTCTGAGTTAATGATTTCTGAAAGTAGTAGTTTTCTCAAATAACTGGGTTAGCTTTCTGCATATAACATAGACAATAAAAAGGTGATAGTGTGAGCAACAGTGCCTGAATATTATTTCAAATATTTGGAACTTCAGGACAATCCTAGAGACTGGAAATTAAATTGTATCTTCTTGCCTGTTGTGCCTGCCTGCTGTATCACACTCCCAGATCTTGGTTTGTAGAGGAGGTATTATATTTTAAAAGGAAGAGAGAAAATGGACTTCTGGTGTGGGACTTGTTCAAAGCTGGGGGGCTCCGCCACAACTACATCACACCATCACAATCTCCCACTAGGGATCAATGAAGGTTCTCTCACAAGAGTACTGATATAGGAGTCAGACTATGTAAATTGATTTGGAGAAAGTAGAAACTCTTCCTGGTGGACTGAGGAGGGCTTTGAAATGTAAAGCTGCTGAAGGGATTAGGGGGAATAATTATAGTTTTGACTGCGTAGAAGTGACATACAGAAAGATGCTGCAACAAATAAATGACACTATCATAACAAAAGCTAGCCTGCCAGACCACTGCCATACTCTGCCTTTTTTAGAAAAGCATATGATAATAGTAAAAACTAAAGGCTTATAAGACACACAGTGGTACTGTCCCCACCTATCATCAAGCAAAATAATTTTGCCTACACATCCTCTACACAAGAGAGAAGCCTTCACTATCACCCAAAGCAGCAGTCATACAAAAAATGCAAATCCTCTTAAACCACTGTTACCATGAACTGACCCTTCAGCAGATGTCTGTGTCTCTGCAAGAGATTTCTTAAGTAAGTGTCAGTAATCTGAGTCGCAATCAACGCATTCAAATTACCATCAGACAAGCCCATCTCTCTAATACTGCACACGGTACTGTTGGCATCCTGCAATTTAGGGAAAAAGTACTTGGAATTTACTTCTGTCTTATTCCCCAGGAAACACCCTCTCAGTTTCCTCCAGACATAAAAGAGTGTGCTTTAGCTTATCGAGTTTCTAAGTCTATCAAGTAAAAGCGCATCTGGGTCCAGCCTGGCAGTTTCCCCAGGAAGACCAGAATAGTTAGACCAGACAGCTGAAAAGCGATGGGTTGAAAATGTGTAAGAAGAACTTCTGTAATTTAAAATTTTCATTTAAGGCTACATCTTGAACTCTGTTCACACTGTAAAACTCGTTTGTTCAACATCTTTTTTTTTGTTGTCTCTGCAGATAATTTGAAATTTGGAACTGATGTGGAAAACACTCAAAATGGAAGGCAAACTCCCATGTCTCCTTCTGCTGGTGGGAGCAATCATGACTTCCCAGTGCCAGGTAAGAGGCTAATGCATCAAATAATTCTCTTGCCATCTTCCTGTATTTTCAGCAGCACTTCCCTACCACTGACTTTGGCTGTCTGCATCAGGCAGAAGGAGAATCTGCTTAGCTCACTAGAAATCAGAGGAATAAATGTTGCAAAGTAGTTTACCTCTTGTTGTGTACATGTTATGTGTTATCCTGGCCGGTTTTCACGTCAGTAAGCAAGTCTTCTCCAGATATTCTTCATGTATCTATTCACTGTCACCTTTCCTTGTTAATAAGAATTCCACTGTAACCCGCCTTTCATTTTCTATGGTCATCATCTTCATCACTACTCTCACTTAAAACTGGATATCAATGGTTCCTTGTCCCCACACTTTAAGCCTCACACTGCACACAGCTTGAGTAAATGCTACACAATTCTAAAATGCTTACTCCCTTTCTCCTTCCTTTTGTCTTCTTTCTTTTGTGGCCTACTCAAAGAAGGTTTCTAAATTGGTTTCTTCATAAAACTTTATGCAAAGTATTTCATTTAATTGACTGCAGGGAACACATCTCTTAAAGATAATCAAGCTACAAAGTCATATGGGGAAACTGCATGTCAGTGAGCAAAAGTAACTGCTGTTTGACTTTACCTTGGAATTTGCTTGAACCTTCTTCAAATAGCAGAAAGCTGACAAGCTTTAGTTAGCATTTGCAATGCCCCAAGAGCGCATGATGACTTCACACACAACGTGAGTATAACACATCCCAAGTTCACATCACTCAGATGACAAGCAATCACCTGGTAATCCATGGCAACTAAATGTTTTACAATTCTTAGGAACTCGTACTGAGGTACTAGGGGCAGTTTTCACCAGACTGTCTGACAAGAGGGCAGACAGTTCCTCAGAGCTTCCCTGATTTAAATTCCCTCAAGAAAAAGACTGACTCTTTAAAGGTACTTGTTCTCTCATATTTTTAAGAGAGCAGTTACTCATAGAATTAACCTTTGCTTGCAGGGCTTACACATGCGTTTCAAACGAGGAGCCAGATCTAGAGGTAAGCCAGGCTAACTAAAACCATATTAGCTGGAGCAATATGAACACAGGAGGGGAAAGTGAATGATGTTGAAGAAACAGAGCCTGAAAGCTTTTTGTCACAGTTATGAGGATGAGAGATTCAGAAGGCAAAATACCAGATCATTGATACTGTTCACAACACAGTTTTCCCCTCCCTCTGCTCTTCCTGAAAGAAAAAAAGGCCAGTCAATAGTGGAATAGTACATCTGGCAGCATAGCAGAGAAAGAGATGGGACAGTTGTGGTCTGAGAAGGAAAAAGGGCCACCCATTAGACAGATGCTCCCATCACAGATACTTTTCTCCTGGAAACAGAAGGGAGTCCTTTTGCTCAGCTAGGTCTTTTCCCTGAATCTCTAAAAGAGGATTTCCTTTCTCTGATTACAGCCGTTTGCACAGATAATTCATCCACAGAAATTTATCAACACAGGGGGACCTGGCTGAGGCTTTCAGGGAGCAGAATAGAATACTGTAGGTGCAACAGTGGTCGGAGTCGTTGTCACACTGTGCCTGTCAGAGGTATGTATGACAAAGAAAAAGGGAACGGTAATTGTCCATCTAATCATCCTAAAGAAGAACTCCACAGTCATGGTCAGAGTTACTGCACAGAAAATTTGTCTGGGAATAGAAGAGGATAGAAATGAAAACACTGTACACTGTCTCAGGCAGGACTAAGTGGGAGTGGGCATGGGGCTGAGGAAGTCTAATAAAATATATGGAGAAAATGAAACAAAGAAAGAATGGAAGCATGACATAAAAAGGCTGTAAGAACTTGGCAATACCAGGTGGGTAGGGAAAAACAGAACAGGCTAAAGGAGATTGACAGGAAAATGGAAAATGTGTATACGTTGCCAGCTTCTTGCTTCTGTGAAATCTAACAGTATTTCCTGGCTTTTGCTTATTCCACAGTCTGCACTAGAAATAAATGCTACAATGGGGGCCAATGTTCACAGGCATATTATTCCCCACAGCTCTTCATCTGCCAGTGCCACCAAGGTTTCTCAGGGAAGCAGTGTGAAATAGGTGAGTATATCACCTCAACTGCTGTGAGCAATGCTATTGATGTTAGCAATGCAGTGCACAAGGATGAGACACCCAGAAGCTCCTGCTGTAGGCTAGGCTATCTAATAAGTTGTCTTTTTTATTCTAAAGCTAGAATAACCAAAGAACTTTTAAGGACACCTGGGTTTTTCTTGGTGTCTCTTAATAAAATTGTGAATTGTACAACTGAAGACCTTCGTATACATTTACAGTCTGCCTGACAGAGCATTTTCACTGACTTACTGGACAAGATGTCTGAGAGCCAAGTTTAAACAGAACAGAGACTGGGGAAACTGTCTGGGAAAGAATTTGGATGCTGTCCTTACATTTTGTTCCCTTTTGTTCAGATACTGAAGTTAAATGCTACAAAGACGCTGGAGTAACATATAGGGGTACCTGGAGCATGACAGAGAGTGGAACTGAATGTTTAAATTGGAATAGCGATGGCTTGGTGAACTGGATGTACAGTGGCCAAAGAGAGGATGCTGCTGAGCTGGGATTGGGCAATCACAACTATTGCAGGTGAGGGGCTGATGGCACACAGGTCAGAGCCACAGGAATCAGCCCATTCAAAGAGCCTGGAGCAAAAGAATGGCTGCTTGCTGTAGTCTGATTTCAAGCAGGGAACATTCTGCACAGGTGCAGGTACTGTGCAGCCCATGAGCAGTAACTGCAACATCTGTAGGCGTATCTGAACTTCAGATCTTCCTAGGCTGGATGTTTATGGCAAACTACAAAATGCAAGTATCGCTCACCCCGCAGGCTTTCCCTTGCCCCTTCCCAGCTCTCCCTAAACTCCATTTGTAATTCAGTGTCCTACTGCTTCAAATCCTGGTCAAAACTGTAAAAACATCATGTTTCCTGTACATGACCTAAACTGCACAAACATGCTGTCCACTCCTGCTAGCTACTTGCCATCTCATCTTCACTTCAATGTATTCCACAGTTTTATAATTAAAATAGGAATTCTAGCAACTTCTGACAGTTCAGTCCACATCTTCACTGCAGAGCAGGACTAAGTTAGCGAAGCAGATGGTCTATATGTCACTATTGGCAATAGCTTTATTATAATGCATAATATCGTAACTCTTTCAGAAACCCAGATGAGGATTCCAGACCTTGGTGCTATGTCTACAAAGGGGGAAGGTACACCTGGGAACACTGCAGTGTGCCCTCCTGTTCAAAAGGTACATGCAGGGTACAGGGAATAGACTTTGGAATTTCCATTATTCACTGCATATATAAGGGTACTCTGTGAACTTGGACTATTTCTGTAGCCTAAAAATGTTAAGACTCCCATATCATATTTAGGCTTTTAGTACTTATGACACTGAGAGAATGAGATACGTAGAGGTAATATATAGATGCCTTGATAGAAATCCCACCTAGGATTTCTATCTGAACTGACAGGTTCACATCAATAGGTTAATGTGCAGCTTTCTTACTGAAGTTAGGAACATCAACTGCAGATCTGGAAGAGGCACAGATTATCGCGGCAGCCACAGTGTTACCAGTTCTGGAGCTACCTGTTTGAAGTGGAATTCTCGAATCCTTGTCAACAAGCTGTATACTGCTTGGAGAAGAGACGCTTATCAGATAGGCCTTGGTAGTCACAATTTCTGCAGGTATGTAGTTGTTTATAGAATAAAAAAACAAACCCACCAATCTGCCTTGCAGTACTCTTAAGGCAAGGCTCTAGTCTTTTACATGGATTAGTAAAGCACAGGAAAGACATTACTAGTGACAGTGAAACTCACTCCCAATAGTTACTTTATTCCACCTGACCTATTTATGCTTCTCTAAGATCAGACTCCGCAAGTGCAAATTTCATATGCCCTTAGGGCCCTCTGAATCTCTAGAAAAATCAAAAAGAATACACTTGGGTCACTGTCTGACATCTTTAGGTCTCTGCAAACTCTCTGCAGATCTGATAATAAAAATAGCTCTTCTCTCTCCTATACTGCAGGAATCCTGATAATGACAGTAAGCCCTGGTGCCATGTCCTGAAAGGAAATCAGCTCACATGGGAGTACTGCAATGTGCCTACTTGCTGTAAGGATACCAGCACTCCTGATTCTTCTCTTTCTTTGAAGCATTACTGTCCTGCATGTCATCTGTATTAAAATAAGATCTGGAGAAAAAAAAAAAGCTGTATTATACTCAGGCATCTTCCAGTTAAAAAAGAACTGGAGTTAAACAAGAAAACCATTTTGGAGCAGAAAGAGATTCTGTAGCTCCACTCTCATAGAAGTGCCTTTTGATCTGCCAGAAGAGAAGATTGCCGAAGTGGAGAACAGGAAAGGCAGGGTTTCCTTACTGTATTTTTCAAATCAGAATACAAGTTTCCTAGGAAACAGGGATGAGTCAAATACTAAACAGTTTGTGGCAGGCTGCCTCAGCATGGACTGGTGACTAGGAGGCTCTTAACCCTAACTCAAAGCAAGAGTGCCTGAACAAAAAGCCTATTTTTGGGTTTGTCATCCACAGCCACCTGTGGCTTACGGCAGCGCAGAGTACGCCGGTACAGGATTAAAGGTGGCTCCTACACAGACATTGCGGCTCACCCGTGGCAAGCTGCCATCTTTGTGAAGTATCACCGAGTGCCTGGAGAGCACTTCCTCTGTGGAGGAATTCTGATCAGCTCCTGCTGGGTTTTGTCAGCTGCTCATTGTTTTGAGGAAGGGTAAGTTGAGGATTCAGTACTATCTGGGGGAAAAAAGTCTGGAAAATAGAAGCATCCAGTATAGCTTTACTGGAAGGGTATAAGACTTGGAAAAAAACCCCTTTTTATCCCAGTAAGTCTGCACTAAAGATTATAGCTAATTGTGCTGAGCATTACAGAGAGGCATTTAATTGGGCAAACTAGCAGGATGGAATTAAGGTACCACAGGAGAGTACCAGATACTTTAAGAACAGAGTTTTCAATACACAATGCAGAACCATCTGAAACATAAGAACAGCAAGGGGCTGGCAGAGGAGCATTGCCCTGATGGCTGTTAGCACGTAGAACAAAAATGAAGGCAAATAAGTTACTTTGAAGTCAAACTGCCCGGGTAACAAACTAGTAATAGAGCTAAAATAAAATTAAATTAAAATAAGCAGACTTTCCAATAGCACATCTTCAAGGGAAGGGTCCACTCCATTAAACACAGGAATAGAGACTCTCTTTTCATCAGCTTTAGTACAAATCAGCTGAAGATTGTGCTGGGCAGGACTTCCCGAGCAACTCCCGAGGAAAATGAACAGAAGTTTCAAGTGAAGAACTACACTGTACATCAGAGATTTGACTCAGAAAATTTCAACAACGATATTGGTAAGAACTTCTCTGACTCTATGACTGGAAGGTCATGGTTGGCTCAAGTTTGTGATTAATGAAGTGGGGATATGTTTTCCTTGTTCAGCTCTGTTGCAGTTGAACTCAGATGCAGAAGACTGTGCTGTTGAAACAGGCACTGTCCGCACAGCCTGCCTCCCCACGCCAGAGCTGCAGCTGCCTGACTGGACTGAATGTGAGATCTCTGGTTATGGCAGAAATGAAGAATGTAAGTAGAAAATATAAGTCTATGTGCCCAGAGCTTGAGTCCTCTACTCTCAAAGAAGTCAAGCCTTTAGCATCACTGAATGCATAATGTATCATATTGGCTTGTATGAGCACTACAAAATGTACATAGGGGTTACTCAAAATCAAGTTTTGCTGTAAGTTATTAATCTCAGTTCTGTCAGTTGCAGGGGTTGGTCTGTCAGTAGTAGAGTCTTCCTTGATACTCTCCACAGTACAAAACTAAAAACAAGATGGCACAATGAATAAGGTAGGAGGGACATAAGGTTTGCAATCAGGGCTGCCACATCTGCTGTACTCAGTACATTTAGATATTGTAATTTGAACAGAAATCCATTTCTGTCAAGCCTTGATATACCATGTAGTTGCAGATTGATGCATTATTCTAAGAGACATTGGCTATGCAGAGATTAGCAAAAAAAAAAAAAAAAAAAGCTAAAGAAATAACAATCCCAGATATACATTAAAATCTGGTTAAATTGTTTTTAAAATTAACTATAATGGAACAGAAAAAAAAAGCTGTCTGAAAGTGTACACAGGCAGACCTGTATTTAAAGCAAACAAAAAAAACCCAGCCCTTATTTTACTTTCTTCCTTTTCCATTTTCTTTAAATTCTCTAACTTGTAAACTTAGTAAGACAAAAACTGTAAAGCATCCATCATACAAGACCTAATCAGAGTTTGGATCCATTGGGGTTTTGGAACAGACCTAAAGACATCGCATGTAAGGAGGGCCTAAAGTATTTTTAAAGTACATTTAAAGTTGGTCCTCAGCATTGTTTACAGGGAGTACAGGATAAACTCTGAGAAGGAAAAGATGCTGCAACTGTAATTCAAAACTCTACTGAATAACAACAATCCTGCCAACTTTCAGTTTTGTGCAATTGTAGCTATACAGGAGAATAAAACCAAACTATCCAAAACTGACCGCCCAAATCTCTTCCATTCCAACATAAGTGTACCAGTTACTCAGTATCATGTATGACAAAACATCTAACTTTTGTTAGTGCAAGTCTAATATGAAAAAGTTAGGATCCTGTTTCATACAGTTAAGGCGTTTTCATAGACATTTCCCGTGACTTCACTTTGAGTGATATAACTATGCAAAGATGACTTATCCACCCAAGAAACCTGGCAGTCTTTATTTGGGGCCTGCACAAACCTCTCTAGGTTGCTGAAGAAACAGTATTGTTTCTCAACTAGATTTAAGCTGTTCTGATTATTTAAGTGGAAAACCCAAGATAGAAAAAAACCCTTTTACAAGGAAATTTTAGTTTAGCCACAGAGGTACTTCTGTTCACTCTCCCCTAAACTATGGAAACAGAATTGCAGCTTTTAAAAAACATATATATGCACATACACAGAAATATATATGTATTTATATTGTCATTTTTCTTCCAGTTTCTCCATTCTATTCAGAGAACCTGAAGGAAGGCCATGTCAGATTGTTCCCAGCCAGTCGGTGCACAGCACAGTATCTAGACAACCGGACAGTTACAGACAATATGCTATGTGCAGGAGACACAAGGAACCTTGATGATGCCTGCAAGGTAAACACAACTCTGTTCTTTTTTCTTTTCCTTGTCTCTTTTCTTTTCTCTGTACTTTGAGCTAACAAAACAGAAAGCTTCAGAAAATAGTTTAAAGAAGTTATGCATTTGCCTACATGGCAGTTCTAGTAGACTTTTGATGAACAGAACTGGTGGCTCCTCTTTCATTTCTCTTCCCCCACCACTCATGGAGGGGAAGGCAGGGAACATTTAAGCAATCAAACCAGAGCAACACAGACTGAAAATCCCAAATACAGGAAATACCACAAAACTGAACAGGAAAATCCACCCCAACATTTCCTAGTATTTTCTGTTATGTGAACATGCAAAACACTCAGCAGGAGGTTCTGTAGAATGAAGGGGGTGCCCCTCTACTGAAAAGTAGAGAAAAGGAGAATAAAGGCTAAAAGATGGTAGAGAGCAATGACATGAGGAAAAAGGAAGGCGTGCATTCAATCCACATCCTTTCTGTTTAAACAGCTATTTAATAATTTTGCTTTACTGTTACACACAGCAGTATAAAACCCCTTGGATCTTTATAACTTAAATAAGGGCCTTCCTTTCTTTGTTATTTTCAACATTTTATCTGCATTTCATAAATGAGCTCCATACAAAGTTAGACACTTTAGTGTTACATTTTTCTGTGTCTCTCCCCATAAGAGGAGCATTGAGGGAGTCTGGAACATAAAAGTGACTTAGGTAAAAGTACTGTTATTAAGAGCTCTTGATTTGTAAGCATACTACATAGGGTATTTCTGTAAAAACTAGTGCACCCTTAAAGCCAGGGGGGGTGGGAAAAGCAATGCAAAACCAAAACAAGAGATCAGTAACAATCTGCTACTTCTCTGCAGGGCGACTCTGGAGGGCCTCTGGTCTGTATGAAGGATGATCGTATGTATCTGATTGGAATCATCAGCTGGGGAATAGGCTGCGGCCGCAAAGACATACCTGGTGTTTATACAAATGTGACTCGTTATCTTGACTGGATTCAGGACACCATGAAACTCTGAGAAAGAAAAATGAACCCTTTCCAATCTGGTGACCGTGCCCTCACAGCTTCCTTCTGGGTGCTTTAAGTGTGCTGACAGGGCTTCCTGTTTGTCCAGATGCTTATGACTTCTAGTACAACAGGAAAACAAACTGCATTGTGTGGGAAGGGCATGTTCTCATAATACTCTCCCAATTACAGGTTATTATAAGTTAATCATCCTTTTCCCCATCATCACTAAACATTCATCTTGCATCAAAGCACATAAGTACAATAAAAAAATATTTCTGGTCGTGAATGAGTAAAACAAGAGAGATCATGCATCTCTTTAGCAGCTAAATTGTTTTAGGAATGGGTGTGAACTGAAGGGGACATTTTATTTCCTGAAAGCTTCATCTCCCTCCTTCCTTGGCTGTACAACTGGAAGACATTAAGCTCTGTCCTTATACCATCTGACTTTGCTAATTTAAGTTGGTTTCAATAGAAGCTGGTTCCCAACAGAAAAAACAGAAGCTGTAGGCATGGGCTGTTATTTCCAGATTAATATACTACTTATGTCTTCAGTTTGGAACCGATTAATTAACTGAGTTTGAGCTTAAACTCTCTGAGCAAATTCAGGATGGCTTGGTTATTAGCACATTTTATTCTTTCACTTGGTTTTGTTCCTGGTAATGGAATAGGTAAAAATTTTAACACTGGCTTGATCTGCCACAGAATCAATGCATATTTTTGACTATTAAATTGCTGTGCATTATCATCTGATATGAAGAAAAAGCTTTCTCTCCTGTGCAGCAGTGCAAAACAAAGGACAAGTCTATTGGTAGCTGTTTTAAGTGCCTGCTAAATTCCATCCACAAGTAAAGGCCAAATCAGGTATCACAAGGCTGTGTTTGTTCTTTAACAGAACACAGGACAGATACAACCAAGTCACCATGAGCCAGAATTTCAGTAATCAGCATTATTTCCTTGCACTGCAGCTGCCACATGACACTAAGTGCCATCTATGCACATCCTAAGAGTGAAACCTCTGAGAGCTTCTCTTTTGTCCCATTGTTTTGTAAACAGGTGTAACTACCATTTTACAAAAGGAAAACATTGTATCGAGGGTACAAAATTAATTTGGTTTTATCATAAATCAGTAGCTAGAAAACTACCCTGTTGTATTTGGGAAAGTCAAAACATTGTAACTCAAAATATTTACTCTCTCAGTTTTTAAGAGCTCTCTGATAACCTACTAGTGTAACAGCTATTCAGATAAAGAATCTAAGCAGGTATAGAAGAGCAATTTGGTGAGATGGCCATTACAGCCGCTCAAAAAATGTAACTGAACCTCACCTGACACAGATCTCTTTTAGAAAAATAGAACCTACAAAAATGTAAGCTACAGATAACAGTTTTACCTCACAGCTATTACCAATTCTTGGAAAATACCGTTAAATGAAGTACCCAAATTGACAAAGAATGCTAGAGAAGCCCTAGCTGCCATCTCTGCACTTGTTCCTTCCTTTCATCCCGGTCTGTCTTCCGAGACATCTTCTCTGTACTGACTAAAAGAATGGCCCAGAATCAACCCCAAATTTTTACAAATGCTTCCTTATCCTTTATTTTTTAATAGATCCTTAATCTGGGAGATTTACCAAATCCTTGTCCAATACCTAGCATCTAGTATTCTCTAGCTGTGGAGTTGTGTTTTTTATGTTTTATTACATTTGTATTATGTATAGGTTTGTTCCATGTACCCCCGGTTCTGTAACGGTTTTCCCCGGGTTTTCCCGTCTTTCCCCGCGTGTCCGTTATCCCCAAAAATGCCAAGTCATCCCCCTGTTTACCCCAGATGCCTGTCTGTCACTCGGTGTCCCTTCCCCTCCACCTAGAATCTTCCACCCGGGACGCCGGGTGATTGGTAAAGGACCTGGGACCCTTCCCCTGTCTGTCCTTCATTGGATGTACCCCGTATCCCACCACCCTCGAACCCCCCGCGGTTTTACCCCATTGGCTGCTCCGTTTTCCCCCATTCCATATGTAGTTCGTTCGCGCGGCTCGTTCCGGGCTTTCTTCTGGCTGGCTCCAGCGCGCGCCGCCCCACCCATGCCGCTCCGGCAAACGCAGGTGCGGCTCGCCTGGTCCCCTTCGAATTACTGTATTCCCCGCTGGATTACAATAAACGGAATTTGCCCCCAGAGAAAGACTCTCTTCATAATTCGCCGTGGGGTCGCTGACTGCTCTCCGAATTCCGATAGTGCTTCCCAAAGCCCTGCGAGGGTCCAGCGGGAAGCGCTAGAAACCTGCCCGCCCCTTTTTCCCAGAGCTAGCCGGGGCAGGGGAAAGGCATCGGGGAGAGGAGCGTTCGGCAGTTGTGGCGCCCAACGTGGGGCTTGAGAGCATCAGACAACACAGACAGAGGACCACCGAGCCCTGGGAGACCGGTGGATTTAACCTCGTGGACGTCTTGATACCCTCAGCAAGACACGGCTCCATTTTAGCGAGCCGCGTTTCCGGAGGGGCAGGACCGGCAGCTTCGGTTTGCACCGCCGAAGTTCGGTCCTCTCACGGTGAAAACTTCACGACTGGATTTTTTGTTTCCCCTTCGGACTTCGCTGGACCCTCTGTAAGTTACGGGGGGCCCCTGGGGCTTGGGACACCTTGTCTTTTTTGGGGTGTTTTTTTCTTTCTCCCGCCGAGGGGAAAGATCCCACATTTTTGCGGTTTGTCTCTAAGGACAGGTCGGCTTAGCGTCCGAAAGGGGTCTTTTCTTTTCCATTGCTATTTTCCAGTTTTGAGGCTTGGCGGCACGCTTAAGATCGACAGTATGGGTGCTAAACTGTCAGTGCCGCAGAGGAGAATATATGTCCAAGTTGTGGGAATCCTGGTTGGGGGAGGAAAAAAGTTTAAAAAGACTGATGTTAAGCGTTTTGCCCAGTGGCGTCTGCAGTCCTTCCAGGATCTCTCGATGGCAAAATTATATCAAGTTCCGTTTTGGGACCAAGTGGGGAAGGAGATCCTCCGACAAGGGGACCCTTCCCTCTTGATCTTCACTTATTTGGCACTCCAAATTAGAAATATTATCAAAAATAACATCGAAGACATGCCGCAGCCACTCGAAGGCAAACCCAGCCCCTGTTTAAAAACCCCTAGCGGCCCTGTTTCCTCTCCCTCTCTCCCTAGCCCAGGGATTTTCAGACGGGCATCCCGGCAACAGCCGCAAGCAGATTCTGGCCCCTCTGTGAACCCTTGGGGCCCCTTGCAGGGCAGTGCTGGCATCGCTCTGCACTCTCCCCGTACCCCAATTTCCTCTCTTTGTACAGCCCTGCCCCATAGTGGAAAATCTGTAAGTTCTAAGACCCCTGATCCCTCTCCACAACCTTCCCCGGACCTTTCCCAAAATGGCTCCCTTTCCTGCCTCAGGGCACAAGATGGAGGGGACCGCATGGCCTTCCCCGCCACTTGTGCTTCTTCTCCCCACAATCCCTTTTCTCCCAACAGCCAACCCCTTCCACCCCAGAGACTTCTCCACCCCCTAGCCCTGGTTCTGCCTCCTCCCTCAGCTCCCACGACCCACCTTCTGGTTCCCACGCTTTGGTTTCCAGGGGGGGTGGGGGAGGGAACTGTGGCCTGCCCCAATCCCTGCCTGCCTTTTCTGCTGCGCCGGTCACCTATACACCGCGGCAGAGGAGCAGACCCCTCGCACAGTGGTCCCCCATCCCTCAGTCGGTAATCAAGGATCTCTGCAAAGCCCAAAAGGAGTTTGGCCGGGAGAGCGAGTATTTTAGGGGGCTATTAAGAGCCACGCTCTCCTCAAACGAATATGTCCCTGCTGACATGCACACTCTCTTTTCGTGTTTGATTACTCTTGCTGAGTTTTTGGTGTGGGAGTCCGCATGGAGGGGGGAAGCACGGGATTTATTACCCAGCCTCTGGGCTAATGCAGAGACCTCCACGGATACGGATGGGGGCATGTTATCAATTGATCATCTGTGCGGGGTTGGGGACTGGGAGACGGCAACAAAGCAGGCCGAAAGATCCCAAGGGAGGCACTGTCAGCGAGCGCGAAGGCGGTGGAAAAGGCCTTCTTTAGGTTAAGGCCCAGTGGCCCTGTTGTTAACTGTTTCTTTCTTAAGCAGGAGCCACAGGAATCTTTCGCTAGTTTCGTGGATAGGTTGTGTAGGGCAGCAGAAGCACAGATTCCAGAAGAGGGGTTGAGGCAAGGCATGGTGAAACAAATTGCACTCCAGAACGCCAACAAAGCTTGCCAACAGGCGATCCTGAGCCTTCCCCTCGACCCAGAGCTGACACTCCAAGACATGCTGGACGTGTGCGCTCGGAAGGTCACCTTACCATCGAAGGACCTCCAGGGGACTCCCCGAATGCCATCATGGAGGGTCTCCTTCGCCGAAACCCTCACACCATCCATGACCCCAGCTCCTGCTCGCCGCTTCTCAAGGCCACCCCCCAGAGGTTACCACCCAGAAAAACCCTGTAACCTCTGCAATAAGAGAGGACACTGGGCATCCCATTGCCCCCTGAAAGAAGACTTTTTACGCTTTAAAAACCAAAACCAACAGCAAGGGCAAGGTGCACCCAACCCAGGGGGACAATCAAAAAACTAGTTTCTCAGCGCAGTCCCTCCCTGCGTGAGGACACAAATTTGGTGGGAAACATAACATCAGAGGAGAGGAGGGACAACGCATCAGCATACCCACCTGAGGACAAGGACACTATTACCAGACATGACATTACCGGATTGGACACTAGGGGAACTAGGGCTGGCGAACCAGCCTGTGTGGGGGGAGTTGGGAATTTCATTTCACAGGCATGGCTTGGTCGGGACCCCGACCATCCCAGGCCCATCCTTAACACCCAATCCAACTTCTCTCCATACAGGTTGGCCCTGACCGAACCCTTGCTACTCAAGGATGGCGATTGGCATTTTATCACGGTTGACACACAGGACCCAGGGACCTGGAGGAGACTCCACAGTAAGTACATCGTCCTTGGGGACACAAAATACACGCCACTCGAGATTACTATTGCACCTAGCTTAACATCTGCAAACCCCAAACACCTGGTGCTGTGGCTGCACTGTGCTCACACGCCAGTCTTCCTTCCCAAAGGGCAAATCATCGCCCAAGCCATACCTGTATCTGGGCCCCCCATCTACCCAGAAGATCTATGGATGAAGACTGCTGAGAAAATCTACGAGGTGTGTCAGGCCCAGGTACTTGGGAAGGAAAGACCCAAAATCCCATGTTACATGTGGAAAGGCGGTGAGCACAAGTGGCTTAACGGCCTCTTGGACACAGGGGCGGACACCACGGTCATTCCCTCACGGGATTGGCCATCGCGTTGGGAGTTGCAAGATGTGGCTGGACAAATTCAAGGTGTAGGAGGGGCACAATTGGCAAAGCAATCAAAAAACATCGTAAAATTTGAGGGGCCAAACGGACAATCAGCTTACCTACATCCGTTTGTTTTAGATTACATGGAGCCCCTGTGGGGAAGGGACCTGATAGCCCAGTGGGGGGTCACATTGAACATTCTGGCCCCTCAGGTTTTTCGGGCAGCGGTCACTGAGGGGCGTCCTACCCAGAAGTTGAATTGGCTTTCTGACGTTCCGATCTGGGTAGAGCAGTGGCCGCTCAACAAACAAAAATTAAAAGCGCTCCAGAAGCTCGTGGCGGAGCAACTTGCCAAGGGGCATATCCAAGAAACAACATCTCCTTGGAATTCCCCCGTCTTTGTCTTGAAAAAACCTGGCAAAGACGAATGGCAGCTCCTTCACGACCTCCGTGCTGTCAACAATGTCATTGAGAATATGGGTCCCCTCCAACCAGGGATGCCGTCCCCCACGATGTTGCCGAAAGATTGGGAATTGGCTGTCATTGACGTAAAAAATTGCTTCTTCCACATTCCCCTACACCCTGAAGACGTGCCGTGTTTTGCCTTCTCGGTTCCCTCCACCAACCGAGAAGCCCCAATGGAGCGCTACCATTGGCTGGTGTTGCCTCAGGGCCTCAAATGCTTGCCCACCATCTGCCAGTGGTACGTAGCTTCATTGCTGACCCCCGTCTGTGCAGCCACCGAGGGCGTGATCATCCAGCACTATATGGATGATATCTTAATTTGTGCTCCCAACGGCGATCTCCTTACACATGCGCTTAACCTGACAACCAATGCGTTGATTGCTGCAGGGTTTGAGCTGCGAGAAGACAAAATTCAAAAGATGCCACCCTGGAAGTACCTGGGTTTGGAAATTAACAAGCAGACCATTGTTCCACAAAAATTGGCCATTAAAAACAAAATTCGGACCCTAGCTGACATCCAGCAGCTGTATGGTTCTTTGAACTGGGTGAGGCCTTGGTTGGGTATTACAAACAAAGACCTAGCCCCTCTTTTCAATTTACTGAAAGGGGGGGAAGAGCCGAGTTCTCCCAGGGAACTCACCCCAGAGGCTCAGGCTGCTTTGAAAAAGGCCCAAGAGACAATGTCTGCCAGGCAGGCCCACCGGTACGATCCGGACCTGCCCTTTAAATTCATCATATTGGGCAGACTGCCACACCTCCATGGTGTTATATTTCAATGGATGGACACCCTAGGGAAGGGCAAGGACCAGGACCGAAGGGACCCACTCTCCATCATAGAGTGGGTCTTCCTAAGTCACCATCGGTCTAAGAGAATGACAAAGCCACAAGAGTTGGTGGCGGAACTGATCCGCAAAGCAAGAGTGCGGATCCGGGAGTTGGCTGGATGTGACTTCGAATGCATTCACATTCCAATCAAACTGGAATCAGGCCAATTCACCAAGGCCATGCTGGAACACCTTTTACGGGAAAATGAATCTCTTCAGTTCTCTCTAGACAGCTAAACAGGCAAAATTTCAGTTTTGAGACCGGCCCACAAAATTTTCGAATCAGAAATTCAATTTGCATTATCCATCAAACAAATTCAGAGCAAGAAGCCACTCAAGGCCTTGACAGTTTTTACAGACACGTCCGGAGAATCCCACAAGTCCGTAGTGACTTGGAAAGATCCTCAGACTCAGCAGTGGGAGGCAGATATTGTTGAGGTGGAAGGCTCCCCTCAAATAGCTGAGTTGGCCACTGTGATTAAGGCTTTTGAGCGGTTCTCTGAACCTTTCAATTTGGTAGCCAATTCGGCGTACGTAGTTGGTGTAGTGTCTAGAGCGCAGGATGCTGTCCTGCAGGGTGTGTCCAACGAGGCCTTGCACAAGTTGCTCTCAAAACTGATTAAGTTAGTCTCCCACCGAGAGCAACCCTTTTATGTGATGCATATCAGGTCACATACCAACCTGCCAGGGTTCTTAGCCGAGGGCAATCGGCGTGCCGACTCTCTCGCTGCCGCCCCGGTGCAGATAGCGCCGCTCCCAGACAAGTTCCAGCAGGCTAAGATCAGCCACCAACTCTACCACCAGAATGCGCCTGGTCTGGTCCGGCAATTCCACCTCACCCGTGACCAGGCCAGAGCCATTGTGGCCACCTGCCCGTCCTGTAAGTCGCTCCCCTTACCATCGGTGAGCGCAGGGGCTAACCCTAGGGGTCTGAAGTCCTGCGAGGTGTGGCAGATGGATGTTACTCACATCCATTCCTTTGGGAGGATGAAGTACGTCCATGTCTCCGTGGACACTTTCTCTGGGGCAGTCTTTGCTTCTGCCCACACGGGAGAAAGCCAAAGACATCGAAAAACATTTAATACAGGCTTTCTCTATGCTGGGCGTCCCAAAATTAATAAAAACTGACAATGCCCCTGGGTACACGTCCAAGGAGTTCGCCAGCTTCTTGCAGCAATGGGGAATAGAGCATAAGACCGGCATCCCGTATTCCCCAACAGGCCAAGCCATGGTGGAGCGGACTCACCAGAGTCTTAAGCATATGCTAAAACAACAAACACTGACTATGAAGGTTGAGTCCCCCCAAGTTCGACTCACGCGGGCCCTCTTCACATTAAATTTCTTGAACTGTTCTTTCGAAATCCTCAACCCGCCAATCACCAGGCACTTTGGCAACTACGAGCAGAGCAAGGTCAGGGAGAAACCGCCAGTGCTCATTAAAGATCCTGAGACCTGGCGGCTGGAGGGACCCTATGATTTAGTCACCTGGGACGGGGATACACTTGCGTGTCCACGCCCTCAGGCCTGAGATGGGTCCCTTCCAAATTTGTCCGGCCATATGTCCCGAAACACCAGACCGACAAGAAGGTCCTCAGGTGAGGCATGCAGCCCTCCGCAGACGGAGAAAGTCTCCCCCTTTCCTTTCCAGTTCAACGCTTTCCCTCTCAGAGCCTTCCCTCTCCCCATCCAGTTCCCTAGAATCGCTCTTCCCTTTTAATTTAGATCTCCCCTCCCTTGAGTGCTAATTTACGTTTCAGTTATTTTTCAGACATTCACCTTGCCCAGGATCCAACCCACAATGTCAGCGTCAATGAGCTTCATCCTTCTCGCAAGTGACTGGCTGGTGTCGCTTTTTGAAGGATGGGGTCTCACGGGTTGGATCCAATCCATTTTGGGAAACTGGACTTATGTTGCTGTTAGCACTTATTGTTTTTGTTATCGGTTTTAGTGTTGTTAAAAATTTAATTTTAAAAGCCATCAACTCCACCATTCATATCAACCACGCCGTCCTCGCCTCCCCATCAGAGCTGACACCGCTCAACGCCGAACATCCAGAAAAGGACCAAGAAGAACACCCAGAGGACATCTGGTTCGACGATGGGGAGCAGGATTGCGAATCCCCCGTTTAAGTTATTTTCTGTTCTTTTCTTATTAAACAAAAAAGAGGGAGATGTGGAGTTGTGTTTTTTATATTTTATTACATTTGTATTATGTATAGGTCTGTTCCATGTACCCCTGGTTCTGTAACGGTTTTCCCGTCTTTCCCCGCGTGTCCGTTATCCCCAAAAATGCCAAGTCATCCCCCTGTTTACCCCAGATGCCTGTCTGTCACTCGGTGTCCCTTCCCCTCCACCTAGAATCTTCCACCCGGGACGCCGGGTGATTGGTAAAGGACCTGGGACCCTTCCCCTGTCTGTCCTTCATTGGATGTACCCCGTATCCCACCACCCTCGAACCCCCCGCGGTTTTACCCCATTGGCTGCTCCGTTTTCCCCCGTTCCGTATTTAGTTCGTTCGCGCGGCTCGTTCGGGGCTTTCTTCTGGCTGGCTCCAGCGCGCGCCGCCCCACCCGCGCCGCTCCGGCAAACGCAGGCGCAGCTCACCTGGTCCCCTTCGAATTATTGTATTCCCCGCTGGATTACAATAAACGGAATTTGCCCCCAGAGAAAGACTCTCTTCATAATTCGCCGTGGGGTCGCTGACTGCTCTCCGAATTCCGATAGTGCTTCCCAAAGCCCTGCGAGGGTCCAGCAGGAAGCGCTAGAAACCTGCCCGCCCCTTTTTCCCAGAGCTAGCCGGGGCAGGGGAAAGGCATCGGGGAGAGGAGCGTTCAGCATCTAGCCTTACTTTAACTTGCATTTCATTTCTCAGAAGTTGCTGCAACCTAGTTCAGTGCGTTTAACTGCCTTTCTCTGGCTTCTTTACCCATTACATCCCTCCCTGATAAAAAGAAATCCCTGAGATGGTTTCCATCTTTACATCAACTTTCCCATTTCTTACACAGTTTTTATCCCTACTTGTCCTCTTCCAGCAACACAGTAGCACCATCTTGAGACAAGGCCTAAGAATAAGGACTGCTATCTGCCTGCTTGCTTCCATCTGACTTTGCAACTGACATTGTCATATTCAAGTTGTTTCAGAACCCTAGTTGACATCAGCTTTTTTTGTAACTGAAGTACACAGCTGCTCCTCATGCTTCCCTTGCAGAAGTCCTTCTTATGTCCAACTTATATCATTGAAGTTGTTGTTCATTTCCCCTTCCTGCTCTGCTTAATCTTCCATAGGAAGTTGCAGTCATCTCAGACTGGTATGTCATAAGGGCCTGATGCCCTAATGTATATTTCAGAAACCTTTCAATATCTTGAGTAACATGAATCACTTCAGCAGTAAATAAAAGATCCTTTAAAAATCAAAGCTACAAAGCCAAAGGACAGTATCAATACCTGAGGAGCAGGAAGGTGATGAGGTATTTGTCTTCATAAGCAAAGCGTTGCCCTTAGCATGCTACCCAGCCCAGTAAACAAAAATGGTTCAGCTGCATTCCTAAAGACATTTTCACTTGAGGTTCTAGGAAATGCTCAGCACTCCTTTTGGGAAACACTAAGAAAAATGACCAAGAAAACAATTAGTTTCAGTTTTTCAGACAGTGACTTAGTCCCAGGTTTATAATGCCAATCACATAAAGACATTTATCTCCCTAAGGCACCCATTATACACAATCAAATTGGCATAATTTACATTCATCCTTAAATACCAACTTTATTTCTTATAAAGCCTGTACAAACCACTCTGAAATGACACAGATGACATGTAAAAATTTTATTGATGCCCTTGTTGAAGGTTTTGTTTGCACTGAACATGCTCAGCAGTAACGTCACCTCAGCAGAATGCCACCTGTTATGGGATTCTTCAGCTGCATGGGAACTAGTAATCCCACAAGCAAGATGCCACTCATCCACTGGAAGTGTGCACCACATGCAAGGTGGAATGAATGCTACCCCTCGTTCAGGGTCACTCCGTTCTGCTGACAACATTGGCATGTAGTGGCCAAAGAGCCTGTAACAGACAATATGAACAGTGCAGGTGCCTCTCATTTTCTATTTCTGCTGTACAGAGGGATATACCATAGGCTGGAATGGACAGATACAGCAACAGCTCCTGAGGAAGAGATGATCCCAGTGAAAAATCTGGCATAGGTTTGAATCCATCTGCACAGCACCTGACTGGTAGAGGAACTGAAATGAGGTAGGACAGGAGGAACACTATAAAGGTACCAGGTCACAATTATCTCAAAGGAAGACATGAGCGAGCAGGAAAACAGCAGTATCACCGTCATTTGCAATAGGCAAGGAGAGGCTAAAAGAGGTTCCAACAAGTAACTAGGACAGTGGTTATCTTCATGTAGCCACAGCTTCTCTCTACAGAAGTTCCCCTGTCTGTCTCTTCAGATTCCCCAAATAAGCTAGGAGAATTCCTACGTTCAAACACTGATGAAGTAAGAGGAGAAGCAGAATTACATGGAGATACCACCGCCCATCAGTTACAAGATCTGAATGTATTTCAAGTCTGTGTTCAGAGACTTAAGATCCTTGATGAACAGAATGCCTTATGAAGTACCTAGAGAAAGAATGCACTTCTTCCCTTTGTGGCACCATTCCCAATCTCAGGCTTCTCAACTTCCCATCCTGGGTAGAACAATCTACCCTTCCACTTCTGCTAGTCTTTTTGAGGCAGAACAGCTAGATGTTCTCCCTGCTGGCAAGAACTACACAACTCGACACCCTAACACCCAGTGATACAGGAATGCAGATGCTGGATCATTACACTGAAGTTTGTGGAAATTCAACTTTTTATCACGTAACACGGGATAAAAGCCAAACAAAATACAAGGAAGAGAAGCTGCAAAAGGCCATAAATTGCTAGAATTTCCTCTAAGACAGCAAAATGAAGGTGATACAAGCTTACAGAGCTGACTTGCTAATCCTAAGGGTCCTGAGCAACTCTCCCATCTGCTATTGTTCCAAATACTTCAGACTCAGGTAGGGATGAGGTGGTTTCAGGTCAACCTTACTTTTCCCTGCTTTCCAGCACTCTGAGCACTGGCTTTACTGCTTATGCTACAACAGAGAAGGGAGCAACCCTAAATAGATGGATGGGATAAGAGGCTGCTTCCAACAGCCAGGGACAGGGAAAACAGGTAAAGTGCTCTTCGTCGCTATCAGCAGCCTCTAGGTTCGGACTTGGAACTTGCCAGCCTTAGTCATGTATTTTATCCCCTTGAATGGCTTGTACTTCTCCCCATACATGTCCAGGCGATTCACCTTCAGTCCTAGAGGCAAACAAACACAGCATAAGACTGACTGCTGCCACAAACAAAGCTGACAGGCCATTGGGATAAAGAGACAGAAGATCATACTGGTGGTGCAGAAAGCACAGAGAAAGTTTTAGCAAGCAGTAGACAGAATGGAGTAAAGCTGACAACTGCTAATTGTTAGAATCATTTTTACAAACACATCCATACCCTTAATTTCTTTAGAGGTCTGTAAGCACAAAATGCAAGGAAATGCAGGGAAGTTGTTTCACAGACCACTAGAAAGAACAAATCCAGATATCTGTAGTCAAAGCAGACAACTTTTTTGCTTGAAGAACATGTTTCAGGTAGAGTGTACTTCAGAAAGTTTGTTACTTCAGCTACATGCAGAATGAGCACCAACACAACAGAGACGATTCCACTTCTTTACCTTAGAGTCACTTACCAGATATAGCCAGCTGCTGAATTTTAAACTGCAGATTAATGGTGGGGTTTTCATCTGGTTTCGATGTCCCAGCTTGCAGGCTTACGCTCCCCTTCAGACTTGGCAGTTTCTGGGGGTTTATTTTCCCAACATCCCATGACAGTAACTTTAAGAAGCAGAAAATGCTGCAGTGAAACTCAAATGCTGCACCTTCTAAAGAAGAGTCCCATTCCTTACAGCTTTTAATGTTTCTCTATGAAAAATGTATTTTTCTTAGTATCTTGCCTTTCATATTGGCCAGACACAGATTAAGGAGTGGATACCTCACTCCAAACCTTTGTCCTCCCTCTTTCCTTGAAGATCCCCAAAAGCCTACTATAAAAGATATTTCCACTACTTGTGCTAAAGGCCACATGGGTAGGCCCATCAGATTAATGCTTGCAAGAGGAAAAGAAAAGTTACCTCCTCGGGTTCAAACAACAAAACCAGAACACCCCAAACCAAACCCATTAACCTCAGTGTTTGCAAAAGACCAACATGCAGCACTGGGCATGACAACTAGATATGCAGATGTTTGTAAGCCATGCACGAGATTGATGTCCCATTATACAAGACCAGTGCTTGGATTTTCTTCACACACCAAGTAGCCAGAACTACAATCCACTCAGACACCAAGGTATTTGTCCTGAGGATTAAGAAAACTCCTAGTATGCAGTTGTTCAGAAAAAGTTCTCACCCCAACATATTGCCTTCAGCAAAGCAATGTTCATGGAAGTGTTCATGTAAGCATGAACAGGTTGACTGCATCTTCTGATAGATAAGAAAGGTTTTTTTTTTGTTAAATTATCTAATTTTTTTCCTCTTACCTTTGTAACTGGATCAAAGACATGTGTGCCTTGAGAGGGCGTGAGGGTCATATTCAAGACACTTTTTGGCATCTGGCTAGTGACCATCACTCCCTCCACAGTCTTCCCCATAGTCTGCTTTGGCCCCACTGTGATCTCAAACCGTCCCAGTGAGCTGCTATCACGAAAACTGATGTTGTGCTTAACGTAGACAGGAATTGCCACAAGACTAGAATAAAGACACAAACAGAAAGTCCTTGTTGATCTCTTGTCTTCATATTTGCTTAAAAGAGACGGAAATCCTACAATCATTTGTTTGAGCTAGGAGCAAAGTCAGGGTTCCATTCTCAAGTCTTAATTACACTTTTTGTAATCAAGCTTGCTGTATCCTATTTTATTAGAACAGGGAACTACATCCAATAAAATAGGAGGCTTGACCAAAAGATGGGAAATGTTTTTGCATGTCACAATCAGGTTGGCAAGTAGTTCCTGGCCGTGCAGCACCACTTGAACTTCATGTTTGTGTTTCTGGTTGCATTTGCCACTCCTTTTCACCTACTAGAGATAAATCTGACAAAGGTGTAGTAAAATTCTTTAGCAACTGTAACCCCAAATAGTACTTGGCAAGCTGCTTCTAGAAAAGACTGTAAACCTGGACAAGAACTTGTGGTTCCATTAAGAGAGATGTCAAAAACCTAACAAGAGCACCAAACTATTTTGTTTTAGTCTAAAAAGTTTTTATAAACATATGAAATCAACAGCTTGGTTACTCCACACTGTCTAATTCTTTCACTATCTAGTTTGTTTATATGCTAGCAGTCTTTGAAAAATGCTGGCTGGCCAGAAAGAAATTACAGAATCACTGCCCCAAACAAGGAGAAAACATGTAATTTAAAAAAAAGAAAAATGCAAGTCATCATGCACCTCTACTTCACTTGGCTCAACATGCCACCTCATGTTTAAAAGATCCTTCTTTTATCATCTTCCTAGCGAGAAGCATCCAGATTTCATAATTCACAGCACCTCATTCACAGACTCATCACCTACTTCTGAGCACTGACATGGTAGGACAGCAAGCGGAAATTTCCATCAGGAGGAATGAAGGAGAGTATTCTCTCTGACTCCCAGCGCTTAAAACGCACACATGGGTGAAAGCTGACATCATCCAATAACCGAGGGTTCTGAAACAAAAAGAAAGTCACAAGTTTTGTGAAGACAGTACAACTTAAAATGAAGATAGCAATCTTCTACCCATGAAAGGCCTACCATTTGACACACTGTTGACCACTTGAAGGTGTCTACATTCAGACATGTCTGATGCTGTTATATCCATGCAAAAGCAGCACTCAAAAACCTCTATCCTTTTTTAGGATATTTGTAATCCTATTTTAGAAAGCTTCTTCACGTCACATCATTACATTGGTGCGTACTCATAGTAGAGGTGGCCCTTCAGGATATCTGCTTAAAACACCACTGTATCTCAACAAGTTAGTCACAGCACACATCACCTGTGCTTTTAAACAAATAATCTGAAAAAAACCTATTTAGGCTCTAAGTTGCTGAAGTTCCTGATGAGTTCCCATTGTCATTTCTTTCTCTTTTCGTCCAGTATATCCAGATACTGATGTACTGGGGTCCATCATCACAAGACCGTGATCTTAGCAGCAGGACTGGGAAACCCCTTTCAAAATACTTAAATAAAGACACATCCTTGAGCTTTACCATAAAGGAGAGGGTAAGGTCTGGCATCCCAGTCAGCTTGACACAAGCATCAATTACTCCTTGGATTTCAGCAGTAATAGTGGAACCTGTAACAATAAGGTAAACACAGGTGGTTTTGTGAACCTCATCAAAAAAAATCCCAAAGTAGAAAACCTATGAGTGAAAAGGAAGGAAATCTACTTTCTTAATGAAATGCCATGGTTCATTATGTCGCCTGCTCAACATTTGTATAATTCCCAATGATTCCTCTAGAAGATTCATTCCGTTAAGAACCGTGGACACCAACAATGTCCATTTTAATGGCCAATGACAGTAGGTCCCAGTTCTAACAAGACTAAGAAGCACAAATACTAAAGAGAAAGTGCTATGCACAATTTTTACTCATCTTCTATTCTCCCAATACAGAATTACTTATGAGACCTCGAGAACAAAGACAAGTGAAAATCTTGGCGCCTCTGTAGAATTTTTGACTGAATAGCACATACAAGTTAGCAACATTCCAGAGTAAAAATAGGATCAGAGCTTCCCGCACTTGGATGAAGGTGCACCTATTTCGAAACCAAACTCTCTCTTCAGGCACTATCAGGACAAGTTATCCTATTCTTAACCAGGAGCAACTTCCGTACCCGATTTGTCAATGATTGCATCTATCTCCTCAATCACATCAAAATAGGCTTCATTGTTGGTATATTTTACACCAGTACGTCTCCAAGGCACCACTGAGAGCTGTCCAGTGGGAAGCTGGTCACCCACATTAGTGCTTCCTGGAAAAAGAAAGGGAATCGACAACCACAGAAGTTAGAAAATGCTGCAGAGCAAGTCCTTGGCCTTATAGAGCTTAATTTTAATTAATCCCCAAGAACCTCTGTTTCTTTGCAGGAGAGCAATTACTCTTCCAGACTCCCAGTACTCCAAAAATGTATATCTCTCTTGCACCCAGCTCTAAAACTGCATTTCACAGTAATGCATGGGAAAGTGTCTACACATGGGGATGTGTAGACTCACATCAAACTAACTCATCCTCAAAGTCATGTCACGTGTGTAACTGAAAATGTAATCTGACATTTTTAGGTTAAAATACCCCAAATCAGACCAAAACCAAATGCAAAACCAAAGTGCAGCTGGTGCTGAAACTGGAAGGCACCTCAAAGCAAAGCACTAACACATGACTCCCTAAACACACCTTTTCTTCACCCATGTCCTAATTTACTTATGCAGGAATATTGCCACCTGGACTCCCCAGTTTATCTTCTCCTTGTTTCCCTGTACCTGTGATGGTGTTGACGACTGTTCGCAGAATAGTAGGAGGCTTTATCAGTTCCTTAAGAATATTAGACTCTGTTGCCAATGGAAAGCCATTGTCTAGCATCTCCTCCAGCACTTCATAAACCACCACAACATTGTCCTTGATTATTACCTCTGAACAGACACCAAAATAATCCTGTGCAAAAAAAAGAATTACTCAATGATCTCTGAAAGAGAATCTTAGTAATCACTCAGTCCAGTGCTTTCCCACACAAGAATAAATCTAGCCTCTTCTTGGAGGAGGCAAAAAACTACTGCAACTCCCTGTATTACTACAAGCATACCAGACACACACTCCCGCAGACACATACAACTCTGAGCACACCTCGGCCACTGCTCCACTAAGGTGGTAAATTCCCGCATCAGCTGTCCCAACTAATTCAGCAATTTTTAAAACTGAACATTTAAATTACTTACTGTCTTATTCTATATGGACTTCAAGCATCTTACAGGAGAGAGCAAGTGCATGTGCATAAACACAAACCCGAGCTTCTAGTTACTTACAGCAATTAAAGAGATTGGGCATTTTGCATAAAGAATGAGTATATGTATGCTGTGACAGTGGAGACATCCTAGTGCTGCATTACAAACACTCTTTTTCAGACATACCAGATTTTAATATACGTCTAAGCCAGTGACAACACACTCATGCCTCATACCCTCATAAAAAACAAGACCTAAGGGTCTGACACAATCCAATCCTGGCCTAACCCAATCCACTCCCTAAAGTCAGAGAAATATAACTCAGAATACAGCCAGGTTCTGATTGACATCTTGCAAACAAAAGCTCCCATGACACTTGTTTGGCCAAGCACACACATTTCCTGTATGCTGTCAAGATGCTGGTCACAAGACATTTCAAATCCAGACAACACAATGCTGTTAGCAGGAGGAAGACAGATATCTTTGCCGTTTTCCTAAACTGATCAGAAGATGTATCAACCGTAGCACAGTGGGAATACAGCTGCTCTGGGGCAACTCCTGCAATTCACTGCTTTAGGAAGTTTCCAAGAAGCATCACTAGATGTAAACGCACGGGTAGGTTGTCACGAATTGATTAAAGTATGTAGCTATGAATTGCAAAAGCTCCTTGTGAGAACAAGGCCAGCTTGGTCTTAGTTCACAGTTCCCAGAGCAGATAAGGCTGCAAAACAGAAATACTGATTTATGAAAGGTTCCTCCTGTGGGCACAGGTAGATCCCGAAGCCATTGTAATTCCTCGGCAGTAAATTCCCGACTACGGCAAGCCCTGTCTACATCCTCACAAACGCAGGATGAAAGTTACGTGATAGGAAACAAAGAAAAATAAAACCTAACAGGTGCAAACGAGAGGGGTTCTTTGCGCACCCGCCCGTTCTGCCCGCAGCGCGGCCGTACCGGAGCTCCGCGCTCCGACCGGCGGGTCCCGCGGCCGTACCTGGAACGTGTCCACGACGCGGTGCAGGAACTCGATGACGAAGAGCGGCGGTACCTCACTCTGGATGACGGCCACGAAGAAGATCTTGTGGCGGTAGACGCTAAGGAGGTAGTGGTGCGGCGTGGGGATCACCGGCGGCACGTTCTCCGCCTCCGAGGCCCGCTCCTGCGCCTCAAAGAAATAGTCACAGACGGAGCGGCTAACGACGCTCTTCCAGTGCTTCTCCAGGAAGATGTCCCCCGAGGCGTTGATCAGGAATAGACTGTGGATCATGGCTGCAGCGAGGCCCGGCTGTGGCGGAGCGAACCCGCGGGCCGGCTCCCCACACAGGCCCCGCCCCCCCACAGGCCCCGCCCCGGTCGGCCCCGCCCCCCGCGCGCGCAGCGCGGCTGCCGCAAGCCCCGCCCCCGGCGCGCGCACAAACACTTCCGCGGTACCCGGGCCGGGTCTCGCAGCGCGCTCTGCCATTGGGCGACGCGCTCACACCCGCGCCCCATTGGCCGCTGAGGCGCGCGGCTCGTGACGCAGGGAAATGGCGCGCTCGTGCTCCGTAACTATCCCGGACGGGGATCCGGGCAGGTACGGGATAGCGCCCGGCACAGCCCCGCGCGTCCCGTGTCCCTATTCCCATGTCTCTGTTCGGCCACCGATTCCATGTCCCGTTCCCCCCGCTCCGTTACACACCTGACAAGGCAGGAGCGCCGCGGGGCCGGCCCGCGCGGGGCCCTCAGGGCGCCCCCGCAAGGGGACGTCCCACACAGAGGCCACTGCGCGTTCCCCGTCGTTCGGTGCAGTGCGCTCGCGGCGCACGTACCCCGCCTGCTCCTCACCGGCGTTTAGGGATCCCTTTTCTAGAAGACAACTGGATTATAGTCCATGAAATGAGGAAATAACCCGGCTTTTGCAGGGAGGAACAGCTAGGGGAACGTTTTTCACTATTTTGCTGGTAACATCCCAGAAAACATCCAGCTGGCATGAAAACAATTGTCCTGCCAAATTTACCTAAATTCTCTAGCAAATTATTCCTTTGCATAACTAGAACTAGTGTTTCATGTTCATATAACAGATCCATGGGCTTCTGAATAAAACATGCCATGACAAATAATTTTCCTTTTACACTGCTGGCAATATACATAAACAATGGGAAAGCAGTCCTTTGAATCCCACTAAAAAAGCTGTCTGAACACACAGCCTTTCTTATATGGGAGGAAGGTCGGTCTGTTGCACCATCGCGGAGAGGCTAAGGTCTGAGATGTCAGACCCAGCTGTGATTCAGGATCGCGGGCAAGTCTTTTAAGTGCTGGTACCTGCCTCGCGTGGCCTCGTCTCGCCCCGCGGCCCGGCCCGGCCCGGCCCAGCCCGGCCCGGCCCGGCCCCGCCGCTTCCCTCCCGCTCCGCTCCGCTCCGCCCCCCCCGCCCGCCGGGGCGCAGCTGCGGCTCCACCGCGCCCCCTGGCGGCCGCCTGCGCCCTGCCGCGCTGTTCTGTGGCCTGGCCACCCCCTCCCCCCGCAGGCTGTTCCACCTCGCGCCCCCCCGCCCCCCGCCGCAGCGCGCCGGGCCCAAGATGGCCGCCGTGTCAGTTTCGGGCTTCGCTGCCGTCCGGCCTTCACCTCCCGAGTCCCGGTGCTCGCGGCCCTCGGTAAGTAACGCTGGCGGAGCCGCGCCGGCTCGGGTGGTTGAAGCCGAGGAAGTCGGGGACAGGCGGCTGGCGAGCTCCGTGGCCTGGGGAAGGGGAAGGCCCAGTTGGGCGCTCCAGGCTCGCGGCCTGTTCCGGCCCCGCCGCCGCTCTGCGCCAGGCCCGGCCCCGCCGTCCGCTCCCGCGGCGCTCGCCAGGCCCACGCCTCGGGGAGGTGGCGGGCACGGCACGGCACGGGTGGCGCGGGCGAAGCGGCCGGGGGTCCGCGAGCTGAGCTCCGATCAGTGTCTGGCGCGAGAGAGCGCGGCTGAGGCGGGCGCGGGCCCGCCCGTACCAGTGCGAGGAGCTAGCCGGGCCGCACTGCCCGTGTCCGGGGGGACGGAGAGCATGGGGCCCGGCTGTCTGCCGTGGCTGCGGCCTGCGCCCCGCTTTTCCCGAATTCGCCGGTGCGAGTCTCCGTGCTGAGGCAGTGCGCTCCTTGGGGCGCCTAGTGCGGGACCTACCGTGGGAGGGATGGGGACGAGCGGTAGCAGGTGCTGGGGTCGCTTGTCACCCAGAGAGCCAGCGAGCGAGTGACCCACCGCCGCTGGGACCGTCCCGGTGTCGCCCCAGCCTGGCCGGACGGTTGCATAACGTCCTGCGCACGGAGCTCGGCTGGGGACGGGGGACAGAATCCTTTGGGCTTCGGGATCCAGGGGTAGGAGTTAGGGGAGCGCATCTCTGTTTTGGAGGAGGGCAGGTGTCGAGAACCGTATTTCCCTTTACATCTCTTGTTCGCAGAATTAAAGAACTCTAGGCAAGCACTGCATCTCGTTTAAGCAGTCGTTCAGAGTCTTTCCAGTACTGGCCGTGTGGAGCTCTGCTGTTGAGTCTGATGTCTGTATGCAAATGTGTTCTATGTGTTGATAAATTCTTCGGTGTTTACTAGAAAGCAGAACACGATAACTGTGTTATCAACTTAACTCTAGTCTGAAACTTCCGTGTAGAAAATCATTCTTTCTTGTGATGAACACTTCTCAGATCCTTCTTGGTTAGTGTACTCCTGAAGTAGAACTCCAGCATAACAAACAGTTATCACACCCCAAAAAAGCTATTATAAGGATAACTAGCTAAAGGCTCTAAAGTAGAACCTCATACCCTTTCACCAGCATCGTTAATTAGCAGTGTCATAAACATTACTTTTATGCTGTGTATGGTCACCTGTTACTTTGTCCTGAAGTGTTTTCAGTGGGCCTCATCAATACTGAAAATTATGTTGTATCCTTTTTTCTGTGGCTTCTAAAAGTAGAGCATTTAATTGCAATCTCTAGCTGTGTTTCTTCACTTTTTTTCCTTTATGGAACAACTGTCATAGCTTTTCTTCACAGATGGGAAACCTATGATTACACTCATGAAAGTGCTCTGAGAGTTTCTAGCTGTTTGCTCCAGAGTCTTAGTTATTCCTGTTTTCTGTTAAAGTTTCAGTCAATGTCTTCCATGTGTAAAAATTAAGAGAGCTACTGCTCTTTTAAGATGTTTGTTGTGGTTTTCTTTTTTTTCCCCCAAATATTAACTTATGTTATGCTCAGCAGTGATACAAATCTTGGTATAGACTAATGGATCAAAATGGAAAGGACACTTTTCTTTAGGTTTTATGGGGTAATTTTAGTGCTAAAGTATGCTTTTATTAGTAGTGAAGAGAAAACCTGAAATATTACTTTAGTATTTCAGAAATGTAGTGGCTTAAAACTTTGCTATGTGTTTAACAAATTAACATTGTCTGCTACTTTTTTTTTTCTTTTCTTCAGAAGTGTTTTTTTTTAAATGTCTCTCTTGTTTTCTTCTAGGCCTAACATTAGAGCTCTTTTTATTGTGAGACCAGAAGCTCAGGTGAGATAATGCTTACAAAATCTTTATACGTTTTGTGTAAAACCTTTCTGTGATGCTGTTATGGGATTTATTGGACAGAATGTAGAAGATTCTAATTGTTTTGTTTTCTTCTCTTCAGTGTGAAAACAAATAATGTTTGAGAAAGGATTGATTCAGAACAGAAAACGTGTATGCTATGGTTAGCTGGTTCCCATCATTCGAGGATCTGTTTTCTCATCATTTGAAACTCGTTCAGCATCAGGATAAAGGATAACGACTCTATGGATATACAGAATTCTTCACCATGGTAAAACTCGCCAACCCGCTGTATACAGAGTGGATTTTGGAGGCAATCAAAAAGGTAAAGAAGCAAAAACAGCGACCTTCAGAGGAGAGGATATGCAACGCTGTGTCATCTTCACATGGTTTGGACCGCAAAACTGTTCTGGAACAGTTAGAGTTGAGTGTTAAAGATGGAACTATTTTAAAAGTCTCCAACAAGGGTCTCAACTCCTACAAGGATCCTGATAATCCTGGGAGAATAGCACTTCCGAAGCCTCGGAATCATGGCAAGTTGGATGGTAAACCAAATGTGGACTGGAATAAACTTATTAAACGGGCAATTGAGGGCTTGGCTGAGTCTGGTGGCTCATCCTTGAAGAACATCGAGCGCTTTCTGAAAGGTCAGAAAGATGTGTCTGCATTATTTGGAGGTAGCGCTGCCTCCATTTTTCACCAGCAATTACGATTAGCTGTCAAACGTGCTGTCGGCCATGGTAGGCTCCTTAAGGATGGGCCTCTGTACCAACTCAACACTAAAGCAACCACTAATGCTGATGGGAAGGAGAGTTTTGAGTCTCTTTCCTGTCTCCCTCCAGTGTGTCTCCTTCCCCATGAAAAGGATAAGGTAAGACACAGTTTTTGTATGGTTGTTTTCTTGTGGTCGATGGAATATTTCAATACAGAGTTGCAATTTGAGGCCAATAATCTTGAATTTGGTATGTTAGAAGTTATTACTGTGTACTTAGGATCCCCTTGTATCCAATTTTCTAAACATGAGAGGAAATTTAATGGATTGTAATTCGTACTTTGGATCAGAAAATTGCAGATGAGCTACTGTGGAGAATTCACAATGTTTCTGTGCAGTGGAACTGGAAGTATGATAACAGGCTTACTGTAGGTGTGTCAGCAAAACATAGGAAGTAAGCCTCCTCTCTTGAAGGTGAGATGGATTTGCAAAGCAAACTTGAGATGATCTCTTACTTTCACATTTTTATTTACCTGCCATTTCTTCTTTCTATTTGAATTCAGGTAATGTAATGAGGGGCTGATTAGCAATTGCCACCTAATGCTGTCTTAGAGGCTTTCTTTATAATGGGCAAAGAACCTTTTGTTCCAGAACCTCTTCGTTGTGAAATAGGAAGCAACCTGCTCTAGTGGAAGGTGTTCCTACCTGTGGCAAGGGTTGGAACCGATGATTTTTAAGGTCCCTGCCTACCCAAACCATTCTATGATCTAGAGAACATAGAGATCCTGGAAGGAGCACTCAGGGGCTTCTGTACCCTCTGCCCCCTCCTCTCTCCCCCATTTTAAATATATGTTCTTTATAAAAAAAAAAATTCTGTTGCTTTCTCTTACATTTTGTGGTTTTACCCTCCTTTCTACCCTACTTCTGCATTCCTAAGGTCATTGATCCTCCCCTCTAACCTCAAGATGAAGTTGTGGGAGTGAAATTCCTACCCAGTCAGTATCTTTTTATTCTTTCTGTTACTTTCAGTGCAGAGTAGAACAGAAGCTTGTCTTTCTTACTGAAGATCAGTTTGCCACTGATTCCTGTATTTCTGCTACTTGTCTGTAGAACATCTAGAATGTGAGAAT